CCCCCCCCCCCCCCCCCCCCCCCCCCCGCCCCGCCAGCATCCCCTGCCCTCCCCCTCGGCTTACAGTCTGCCATGATCTGAACATCTTTTCTCTGCCACACCCTTTTTCCATGTTTCTGCCTTGGAGTCATTTGACCATGAACTGAATCCTCTAAAACTGTGAGCCAAAATAAATCAGCCCTCCACTAAGGGGTTCTTGTCATGTATTTTAGTCACAGTGATGAAAAGCAGACTAACACACATTTTTAGTCATATGGCTAAGGCCATGCTTTCTCTCTCCTTAAAGAGATTGAGAAAGACCAAAGCCATATGTGTATGGGCTTATACCTGCCCACAGAACAAGTTCATGGCACATAACACGGCCAATAAAAGTACTTAACCTATATTGACCCAGTAGTGATAATAATCACTATTGTTCTAAGCAATTTTATTGTCTCATTTAATCCTCATAAAAACCCCACAAAGTATATTCTATTATTCAGCCTATTTAAAAAAAAAAGCAGAGAGACAGAGTAGTGAAATAGCTGCTGTCACATAGAGCTGAAGTTCAAACCCAGGAAATGTGGTTCCAACACTACTGGAAGCATCACTGCCAAGGTATCTGTTATGGCCTCTGGGTTTAATAACTGGCCTGACCTTTCACTGTGCCGCCTTCCCCATGATTATAAGGTCCATCACAGGGTCTGAATTCTTATTCCTTGCTGCATAATTGTGATTGAAAGCCTTGTTATAATAGATTTATTGTGGGAAAACTGACTCAAATTTGGACTGAACATTCAAGATATTCTGTCTCACATTTCCCTTTTTCTTCTGATTTTATTGGAGAACATTTGTACCTGTGAGCATTATTGGCATGGCTACATTTCTGGAAGGGATTTTCATATTTTTAGAGTATCAGTAAGTTATCAGAAACTTCAAATATAAAGTTTCCTTTGAAATATAAAAAGCTATGCCACTTTGCTACTTCATTTACCAAAAGCCTATAAAATTATGTAAGTATCCTCCTACCTATATAAGGGCAAATGAAGTGGGCTTTTACTCCCTTCAGCATGCCAATTACCTCAGTTTAAGATGTCTCTTAAGCCTCTCCTGGACAAGTGTATTATAAAAGCCATTAGTAAGACTCACTATAAAGGAAAAAGAGAGTTTTTTTTATATTAAATTAGTATTTTTCAATGATATGAACTCTGATTCCATCACAATAAAATATTTTTAAGGGAAAATATGGAGAAAAATAACATAAATAATCAATTGAGTAAAAAAGTAGTAAAAGTTGCCTTGAGGACTTTGACAACAGGTAGTAAAAGTCTAAACTGATAAGGATTTCCTATCAGGGAACAGGGCTCCCTGGTCATAAGCTATGAAAGAGGACACTTCAAAATGACATTTGGGATACTTGGGAGTCCAAAACCGAGTCATACTCAGAAAGGTAATGCTAGAAATTGGGGCAGATTCATGAGCAGATCATTGGAGGGGGCACTCATGGCTGTCAGGAGGTTAGGGGTAGAATTTGTAATAGTCCACAGCATGGAGAAACCCAGGTGAATGAAAGTCTATCTCAGTTCTCCAAGGGGTCCCAGCTAGTGAAATGCAGCCCCTTAGAGGAAAGCAAGGAGACTGGAAGAGTGATGCAGCTGATAACTTTGCAGCTAGACTCTTTTTTTTTCCTATTTCCTAAGAGTTCTTATATATTTTTTTCCTGCTTACAAAAACCTGGTTTTATAATCCAGAGCAAGGCCAAATCCAGAGGAGGGAATCAAGAAGGACTTTAAATAGAACAAAGAAAAGGAGACTAGAGATGCATGTTTGAGCCTCCATTTACAAATGTTTTTTGACTGTCCTAGCCAATGGACCATGGAGGGGGACTCCCAGAATGGATTTCTGCCAATGCATCAATTTCCTGAATTTCCTGTACAAATAGTCATTTGTGTTTTTATACATGTGTAAATATGGAATAGTCATTCCACCTCAAGACTGTATTCTTTGTATCCATTTCTCTCACATTTTGCATATAATTTTAATAAAACTCTAACTTACAAGTGTTTTAAAATAATCTTGTTCTATGCAAAATTTTGAAAATAACACATAGTTTTCTATTCTTGTTATATTTGCATTATCACAGATTAGATTTTCATAGCAGCTTTAAAATTTTTTTCCTTAGTTGGGAAAATAAAGTTACATCTAATCAGAGACAGTTACAAAAGAAAGCTAATTAGAAAATGCAGATGTGAAGTATATAGAGTATATGCTATCTTGCTTATTTCCTGTTACAAAATGAATGAGTATATGTGCATATTCATACATATTAATTTTCAATTATTTTTTGAATGTCAATAAAGCAACAGTTGTTATGTTGAGAAATAAATAAACTTTAGGTTAGAAAAGATGCTGAGAGTAGAAGTCACCAATTACTGACCCAAGTGATACATGTTGAAAGTCACACACATTCTCATATTAAAGTTTAAGTTAGGTGAGACCCATTCATAATAGACTGTGTGGATACATATCTAGTGAAGAAGACTATCAAATTGGCAAAATGTATCTAGGAAATGTATTAATGCTGCTAGAAACTTGTAACGTGAACTTACTTATTCTTTACCATGCTAGACTCCCAAATCATTAAGTTGTTGATTTAGGACCACATAAGGAGTCAAGAATAATTTCAAAAGTATAGTTGGAATACTATCCTAAAAAATATTTATATTTCTTGTTTTTCTTTTCTTTCTTTTGTTTTTATCTTCCATCACAGATACCATAATTTCCACTCTCACTGTGGGGACCTGCTGGGCATTGCGAGTGCCATTTTTTCTAAAGGCTTCAACTAGTAAAGCATGTACAGAAGAAAAACAAAGTCTACTGAAAGAAATAAAAGCCTGCATGGCTTTTATTCAATCTAGTATCTAAGGATGAAAATTCTCAAAAACAGTGAGTTGGACTTCTGGTAGGGTACCCTGCAGTTGAATTGTTATTATTGGAGGGGAGGGTCCAATTCAGAAACCAAACATGTTTTGACCATGATTTGGGCAATACTTCCAGGTCAGCTTTAACTAAAGTTCTGTGAAACACCATATCTTTGACATGCTTCATGAAAATGGCTTTCCAAATAAAAACTTTAGAGAAAATTATGTGCCATTTTTTTCTTTTTGGAAACTCACAACACACAAAAGCTTCATAAAGGTTCTGAAAAGTCCTATAGAAAAATATCCCTGCTCATCTTTATTTAACTTGTATCTTCTGTAACTTACTTAATGTTGTACATCAATTCATTCTAGTGAGTGACACTGAGGAAATACATTATAAAATTCTGCTGTAGTGTGATTTCCTAAGGGCCTACAACATATGATTCCAAAGTGTTATGAATTTTACCCCCTTTTGTCACACTGATTCATATCTGTAGCAGCTAACTCAGAACGATGTCACTTGTGATCATTTCTGGTCAGTTTTATTCTTCTGGTGGGAGTTAGA